AATATCACATGCTCAGGGACTTTGAACTTGAGAGAAAAAGAAGTGAGGATGAGGAAAAAAAAGGATGAAACCCGGCAACCAGTCTACGTGCGCAATGCTCGAGGCTCGTTGTCGGGTTTTGTCCTTTTCTTTTTTTTATCCATCACCCCAAGAAGGGAGAGGAGGAGAACACGACCCCCACCACCCAAGGCGGGCGGCCAACTTGTCACAGCGTCTTGTGCGCAACAAGAAGAAGAGGGGTGGGGGGTGGCTCCCGGGGGTGTTTCACTTATAAAATGAGTGGGGTTGGGAATAGTGGAAAACTCTTGCTTTCCCTATGCTTCAGCGCTGGCGAAGATGGGTTTGAAAGGTATTCCGCAAAGATGACCCTTCCCCGTTCCCCTCGTGACATGGTGCCGCGTGCCGCCGAATAAAAAAAGGTGCTGTTGGATGGCCCACGCCATGAACAAAAAGAACAAGGGGAAGGATTCACCACACCCATGATAAAGGCAAATTCCGCTATGGTGATGTGTTAAGGCGTTCCCCTACTGCCATGTGTGGTGTGAAAAGGGAAATCCATGGGAAATGCAGAAAAGAAAAAATAAACACGATAAGAACACTTTCCCCCATAAGAACACTTTCCCCCATAAGTATTTTGGTTTGTTGGCACCCCACCGCCTGCCCCACCATAACAATGTGTGAAGTATGTTTGGCTTCCCTGGGGGATGGAAGTGGGTAAGCTGGGCGCCGCGATTTGAGAGCCCTCATTGCCAAGGGCGCGCCGTGGTTGGCATCAGAGGTCCGCGGCACCCACCCCATGATGTTGGCAAAAAAAAAAGTTGAGGAGGGTACGGCACCCCGGGTTCCAGCGCCATCACTGATCGTCGTGCTGACGAGGCCTGTGGCCGCTTAACTTCACAAATCGGACGGGATATGGCGCGCATTCGGCCAAGTATGGCCGTACCCGACATACCCGCAAAAGAACATATTATGTTCCCGGGGTGCCCTTCCCAGCCCCACCTCCAGGGGTGAATTTTCAGTTTTGCGAGTGCCGTGCGTTTCCTGCCCCTGTGCTCCACTGGGCCTCGTTGCGGTGGTATTGGGGCACAATTTCGTACACAAGCTAACCCTTGTAGGTGTTGGGTTGTTCCGGTGTTTTGGGTTGTGCCGGCCTGG